TCTTTACACATTATTCTTTCACAATGCAGTCATTTTTACTGCTTTGGGAAATATAGGTATATACTAAGTTTCAGTCTTTCTAGTGTTAAAAGGAACATGTTTACAGATTTTCTGTTATCAATTATAGTTTCTTGTATTATTCGTTCGTTTCGGATAAACAAATTGCAATTCGAGTTAGAAGAAATATTAGGAAGCTAGTGAATCTTTCGACTAATAGTTTGTAAAAGCGACACGAGTTGGTTTGGGAATTTCAAGATCATGGAAGTAATATCGTGTTTCTTGATACGATCGATAAAAGTTTCTGCGGAGAGAGTCAGCTTTTAAGTTTCGCGATGAGAGCAGTCGTTGGAGGGGCCGGCGAGAGTCAAGGATACGGAGGGCAAAGGGAGCAGAATAGTGGTCAGACTGGTGTACCAGGACGTTACACCTTGGCGCAAGGGCAGGCTGTTCGTCTGATCCTCTTTCTCGAGTCTAAGGCTAAGCGTGGAATGCCGTAGGTAGGGGCAGGGTTAGCGTACGGATAAAAGACCCTTCTCGTCGTGCTACGCTCGAGGGTTCTCGTCGCAGGGTCAAGGAACGCGAGCGATAGCGTACTCCACGGTTTCGCGTTGTTTATGCAAGTCGATCGTACCGTTAGCGTAATCTCAGGTGCATTGACTCGAAACCTCTAGCCTAGCCGCGGTTTTTCCGACGTTACCCGTCGAGAACGCGGCATCGGTTCGATGCATCTTTTATTCCTCGACGCTTCGTCCGTCGAGAGACGTTCGATCTTCCATCTATTTGGCGAACCTTGAAAGTTTCGATTAAAAGTGAAAGCTTAGGGACGTTGCAAATGCTTCGGGCAAACATTGAAAGTAAAATGTTTTCGTTGATACGCCAGTTTTCTGTCTCATCCGTTACTATGTTTATTCATCGCAGCACTTGCTACGAGTTTTTCTACCGATGATGTTACGTAGCAAGTGAAAACACGGAGTCCTTGAGGCGCCGTGTCTTTTTACGAGATAAATCTCGCAACCTTTCCCGTAACGATACAATTTTTCTGTAGCCAAGTCGAAGCTCGGGGTATTCAGCGTCGTGGTTCTTCAGTTTAGAAGTGCTCGAGCCAGACGCGGTGTACATTACGTAAATACGTGTCTCGGATTTTATCCGCGACATTGAAAATGATTTTTCTAAAGGCGTCGGTAAATTGGAGCGGCGCGCCTCTTTTTAGAAGCGCACATCCGATGAAATCATACGAGGAAAATGTATGATTGCATCCTGTTTGGCGTCATCCGGTGTCTAAAAACAAAATTATTTAACTGTGAAATGAAAACGATGAACAATTTTATTAAACTTTCTTCGTTCATCGTTTTAAATATTCAACATAAAGAAGAAAGAATTATGAATTAAAAATGAGAAGACCTGTGCAGAC